CCCCCCTCCCCCTCCCTCTTAACCCCATACTCCCACACCGCATCGATAAACTGGGGCGATCTGACCACGATAACCTCATCCCCGCCTTCCTCGACTCCCACATTCCCCGCATCCGTCTCCCCATCCCCCTCGAACTCCATCCTCCCTAGCCCAAAACCACCAAAAGCGCCGCCTCCCCTCCGCAGATTCCTCCGCAGCTGGCGCACGACAACATGAATTCGCGCGTTGAGCGCAAACACAGTCCCCGTGTACTGTCTGTCGAGCACGAGATAGCCGCCTGTTAACAGGACTTTCCCTGGCGCGGAGACCGCTGTTTTGGCGAGGGGACGGTAAGACATTATTATTTCCTTGCTTCTTTTGATTCTCTCGCCCTCTTCTTTTTGTATATTTATTTATTATTATTTATATATATGTTTCTTTTTTTTTTTTTTTTTTTTTTCGTATTTCCCCGTTTTGGTTTTCTCTTGAGGACTTGGTTTTGGCGTGTTGGGTTACGTGTTGGGTTTTTTATGCATGTACCCCAGTCACTTTTTCCTCCCCTTATGTGTGCTGCGGGGAGACGGGGTACTTTGTATATTGAGTCAACAGTTGGCGGAATGGAGAGAGAGACGGGGATGCGGTCCCACCGTGGAGCGGAGAAGCGGGTAGGAAGGTTGTAGGGGGTTTGGGAAGATTTGAACAGTCCACCCCTTATTTTTCTTTAATGGGCGGAGCGGTTTATGTTAGCTTGACCGCTAGTAGTGCGGGGCAACGGGCGGGTGTGGGGATGCAGGAATATATTGCTTGGGAGCCAAGGTCCATTTCAGTGGGAGGGATATGTTAATCTACGAGAGGGCAGGGGTAAAATTATAGCCGCTGCAGAGAGGCCAGTCCCATGAAATTGATATGGTTCTTTTCTTTCGTGTTCTATTGTGCGGTGATGTTTTGTGATGGAGATGGTGGTTGGGTCATGTTAGAATCTGTGGCTTGATGCCGTTCTGTTGTCTGATGCGGATTGTGGCTTTGCATCCTGAAGTGTTGGAACATTCAAAAATAAAAGAAATAAATAAAACATCAGATGTGACTACCGTCAAAGCAGAGAGCAGTATACAGTCTTTTGCATTATACTTGCCTAGTAAACAGAATCGGAGGGCAAGTATTATTATTGATTTTCTCTAACCCCTTGCTTCGATCTAAATATCTCAAATACCCGACAACTGGGTTGAAACAAAATACACCTTTGCATTCATGGATACTACCAGGAAATCCATACTCATCCCTAGGTAACATGGCATATATTTAAAATAGATGAAATATGATTGAAATGGTATCACTCCCAAAACCGCCTATGCATATGTTTCCGTCCTTGAATGTTCTCATATATCCCACCTAGTTACCTACCGCTCCATGTCTGTCCTACCGGATGTACCGGATGCATGATCCAATCTTGTGTCCCACGTCAGAGAAAATATGAAATGTTCAAATTCAATAGCCGTTGGTCTAGGTCTCTCTCAACCGAGCGTAACTCCAAATCAGCCCAGACTTACGAAGCTTAAGGACATGCAAGTTGCTGTGTGGAGAAACATTTGAGGTAGGCGATTCGTTCCCTTCGCATAATCGATTGCTCATACGGGGATCACGGCAAGGAACTGGTGCATATGTCCTCTGTATGGCCCGCCCGAATGATTAAAAAAAATCCAGCTCCATCCTGAGGAACGCATACCCTTTGAAATTTGGGTTTTGCCTGTCCCTGAATCTAGAACTTCTTGAAGTTTGAGGTGTCCTGTCTGTCTGATGGATTGCAGTAAGAGGAGGAATCATTTCTGTAAACCGTCACAGACGAGTGATAGAATCCTTCGAAAGAACATGGACACTCCCATTATGTTCTGCTTGCTTAGTTGTACTCCTAATTTGAAAACCGGAGCTGTCTTCTGTCCATTAAGCTTGAACTTCGAGCTCCAGATTTTCATCGGGTTCTTCTCCGCAGCATACCCAGTGGTTCTTGTTCCCTGGTGTGCTAGTCCTTTGGGGATAGTTTTGCGGGGCGCATCTCCAAGTTCTCGCGCGCACGAGCTTACCAGAAAATATATATATATATATATATATATATATATAAAGGGAAATTAAGGAAGTAAAACAATAAAACCAGGAAAGGTTCGCTATAAAAACCGATTTCGTGATTGGAATGTTTTTCTGATGCCAACTGACGGCGGAATTTGCTGTCGACTATTTATCTAGACGCGGCACAACTTTGCTGGGAATTTTCCAGGGAATCAAGCTGCCTGTCATGTTCATCGGCACCAGTAATAAATTGTATCTTGTGACAGTTGGCATTTTGCATCCACGGCATGTTAAAATAAGAGGTTCGGTAGACGAGATGCCGAAACGGCTCATTCCATGGATATGACATCGAGTTGTTTTTGTGTGTTCGAACTAATAGTACTTGTCAGGCAGCTTGCTTGCATGCTGCAACGTCAGATTCCAAATCATGAATGCAGTTTACCCAGCCACAGCAGCGTACGTCCGCTGCTGTTCGTATAGCTCCACAAGACTATATAAGTTCCAATGGTATTTATTGCAAGGTTCATCTTCTGCCACATTCGCAGTCCACTTCCAACAACATAGATTGATTTGGTAAATCCTCTCTTTCCGTGACTAGAACGAATGGACGCGCACTGGGAAAACAACACTGCGTCCAACCCCGATCTACACCGGCCGGTCAACCAAATCGGCAATCCAGCAGCCACAGATGACATTATGTTTCCCCCGAGAACAAATCGCGCACCTATTGGTCCCGTGAATATGATGCCTGAAGCCCGTCAAACCAGACCGAACCCGCCCGGGGCAGCGGAGCTCGCCGGGCCCGAGGGTGGTGCGACTCTTCGGGTCTAGCTCCCGTCGCTAAAGAAAAAGATTCGGGACGGGGGGGGGGGGGGGGGGGGGGGGGGAAGGAAAGGGAATTGGGGTGGGGCCCATTTACGGGGGAAAGGCTCAGCCCATACACAAAAAACCATGCCAAAAACAATACCGTAATAGTTAAGTTGACATTGGCGATGACTCACAGTGAGCCAGGAACTTCTGGGGGGCGCGGGCGGGGGGCGCAAGGGCCAGCCTTGGGGTCAAGGATGTGGACAAAAGGAGCTTTCCCCATTCACTGGGTCCTAGGGTTGGATTGGCAGAATATCTGATACCTTGAAAAGGCCCGCTTGATCCAAACTTCAACGGCGGGGGAGCTGCTTGCTGCTAAGCACTGCCAGCTTCCCAGAGAACAAACTGTCTGCCTTCTCTGAGGCCAGACTCAGGCTGCAACATTTCCAAAGGGTCTTCAAGAGGGTTTCAAAACCAAATTCGTGATCTCTATAACATTGGGGTAAGAATCCATCGATCGAAAAACAGCTGACTTGACGAAGTGGCCACTCTCGTATTGTTACAACCACCGTAATTTATACCATGCAAACCTCCAGGTCCTGTCGGCCAATCACGGAGCTTTTCGGGTGGTAATTTTGGTACCAGGGAATGTGTCCTTTACCACCCTTGTTATGACGCCGCCGCCGCAGCTAAAAACTGGAGCTGGGGCTTGTAAAGAAATTTAACTTACAGGCTGCGGAACAATTCGTAATGCGTTTTTTTCCTTCCCCATGCGAGTCAGCCACGCCATGACTGACCGTTTGAATTCTCCATCGTGACCTGCCTCTATTATTATTATATCCCATCTCTTTCTCTGCCCCGACTCTCCTTTTTGGGTCTCCTGCAAATACAGTCAATCTTTTCATTTATCTATTTATCTTTTCAGGCATCGTCCCTGATTATCGGTTCCCTATACAGCCACCACTAAATCGAAAAATCTCCTCTTTGCCTTTGTGGGAGTGAGATGCTAATCGCACACACGTATCTACTTTTTTTCTTTTAAAAAAAAGGGATAACCTTCGCATATTTTTGTTTCCCTTCCATCATCACATCCGTTACGTTGGTTGACATTTGGGTTTGGACAAACAACCTCTGCTCTTGTCCTTCATTACACCCATACCCCTTTCATTTCCCCTTTCTTCAATCCAGCGTGTTCTTTGACGGCGTCCAGTCGTCAAATGAACGTGCAATTCCACCTACATCCCAGTTCAGAGGTATGTATCACCAGATTCCTCCCCCCCCCCCCCGGGGGCTTTAACTAAACCCCGGATATCCTCGAATTCGACGAAACAACTCGCTAAATTCCTCCTCGCTCTAGTACCTCCTCTTCACTCTGAAGAGGTCCCCCGCTAGATAAATGGTGTTTAAGCCATTTACCCACCTCGCACGTCAAGCCTTCTCGAAAACATTTGTCCACGGCTATGCTCAGTCCGTCGTCGCCGCTTCCCAATCCTCCTACGCCTCTTCAAACACCTCCCTCAACCAGTTCACCAATCTTCCCGTGAAATACACCCGAACCGCCCAGCTTCAATCCGCTTTCCAGAACCCCTCTGGTTCCTCTAGTAGTGCGGGTGCAAAGGCTGGCCATGCCCACTCCAACAATGCCGGTGGTGATACAGGTCTAGCTGCGTATTATGCTGCTTGGCAACAGGCCCAGCAAAATGGAGACGATAGTGATTGGCACCAGTTCCAGTTTAGGAAGAGAATTGGCTGGAAGCCAGCTGCGCAGGATGCAAAGGATAGCGAAGGAGTTGCAGGTAGCAAGGATGCCGAGGTGGTGTCCGTGTCTGACGCATCGTCCGTGTCCCAGACGCCTGAGATCCCGTCCAGTCGTCGTCGCAGCGAATCTCGCGATTTCGGAAAGGTGGAGAGTGTCACGGTAGACGCTGATGTAAGTGCTCAGGTTGATGAGGCTGTTGCTCGTGAAAAACAGCAAATTCAGGATGCGGAGGAAAAGTTGGTGGAGGTGGAGGTGGGGTTGGAGGAACCGGTGCTTTCTGCTGCTGAGTCTGCAAACAGTGTCGTGTCGAAGGATGGGTCTTCCACGCCTCATCCTACCCCGGCATCCCCCGTGGGTGAACCTTCACTTGTTGCCCCCGATGAATCCACCGGAGATATCGAAATCGTGAAGAGAGCACATGCTCAGTCAGGGCATGTGATGCAACTTGCAGATACGAAGCAATATTCTCAGGTTCCCAGTGCTTTTGAGAGTCTTTTGAAGGAGGGATTGGTTCCTACCGTTGGGGCCTACAATGCACTTCTTGAGGCCGCTATCCACCTCCATGCGGATGTCTACCATGCAGTACCCAAGGCTCTTGATATTTACTCTGACATGTTGCGTCGTGCCGTCCTGCCTAACAAGCAAACATATACGATTCTCGTCCAGCTTTTGGCATCCCGCGCCTTGAAGATCTTCCACTCCATTCAAGTTTTGCATGAACAGCGGGCCCGCTATGGCGGCACGGAAGAGCAAAATAAATTCATTTTCCAGTCAAGTGAGGCCGAGCATGAACTCTTAGTTGAGGATCAGTCTCTCTCTATTGCTTTGAAGCTCTTCAATGCAGCAACCTCGCGCCATGCAGACATCTTGTTCCCTCTAGAAGCCTACTGCAATCTGATAACTAGCTGTGCGAAGAGAGGAGAGGTGGAACAGATGATCAAAATATTTGAACATATGGAAACGCATAAGATTGTGCCTCATGCTTCCATTTTCCCTTCTATGATCGATGCATTTGCTGCCACGGGTGACTTGAAGAGCGCTGTCGAGTGCTATAACGAGTACAAGGCTCTGGCAATTGCAGACGATAGCGGTGTCTTTGGTATTGTCGATCGCAAGGATGGTGAGGTCTATGCTGCTCTCATTAAGGCCTACCTCTCGTGCGGTAAGGAGGCCGGTGCCCTTCGATTTTTCGAGAAGATCAAATCTTCCTTCGATCACGTGGAAGAAAACAAGGAAGCCCGAAGATCCGTCATTGAAGATGTCGTTGTCAGGGATGGGCTTGTGCAACACGCAATTGTGACTAGAAACTACGCGGAGGCACTAAAGATCGCAAAGGATTGTCTTTCCAAGCCCAAGTTTGAAGCTGCACTGGCTAGAATCTGCATGGCTGCTGCTGACTCGGGAAATCTAACCGTTGCATCCGAAGCTTACGAACTTCTCCCGTTCGACACCCCCGTCTCCATTGGTCCCGCATCGGCCATGCTTGCTCTGCATATTCGTCAAGGGAATCTGGCGGCTGCCAAACCGTTTTGGACAGTTTTATCTTCGCCAAGCCACGCTACGCCGGATCTAATTCATCCGACTGCCATGTATACCGTTGCCCTCCTTAAAAGCGGACAGGTGGAAGAGGGCTTGATGGAGGCGCGGAATATGTTCTCTCGCATTCGCAACTCAGCGGATAGCAAGCAAGCTCAGGCTCACCTTCGTGAAGAAATTGATGAAACAATTGACCTCCTGGGGCGCGTCATGATTCAATCATCTGCTGTCCTGTCCGCTCATGCTTCGGTGACTCTCATCTGGGCTATGATTGAGAATGGGGGATTGGTGTCCCCGGTTGCTGAACACGTGGTTGCTGGCCTTGGGCCATCTGGTATCTCGCAACTTAGTATGCAAGACCTGACTCTTGCCCTTCAGGTACAGGCTGGGATGCTGATCAATGCCTCTGGTCTATTTGATGCTGCACACCCGGCACGATTTGCACATATGCTCGAGCTTGCACTGGCCTCGGGGCTTCCCATGGACACCCTCAAATCCCGTGTGCTTGAGCAGGCTGTTCTTAAAATCGCGGACAGTCGTCCAGATTTGGTCCAGAGATGGCGTGCTTACTTGCAAACCCCAGGGAATCCTGCGTTTGTACCCGCTCGACACACACCAGTTCCTCAACTTTCTCCAGTCATGAAACCAACACTACCGGAGGAATCGTTTGATCCCTATGCCCATGCTACTGATTTCCGTGGATCTGCTATCATAGCTGATATTCTGGAGAACACGAGCGGGCGCATTGAGAACCACCTCAACGACGCCATGATTAAGTTCAAGAACATGCGTCGTATCGGCAGACATCCTCGCTATATCACATACGCCAAATTGATCAATGCTGCTGCCAAGTGTGGACAGATGAATCTCGCGCAGGAGATCCTGTGCATGGCCCGACACGACGTTCCCCTGATCCCTCAGTACAAGGTTGTCAAATACGGCTGGACATCAATTTTGGATGCTATGGTTGCTGCCTGCCTGACACATGGTGAGCGCGGTCAAGCTGCCAAGTTCCACCAGGAGCTTAACAATATTGGCTCTGCGCCTTCCTCCAATACCTTTGGTCTCTACATCACCACCTTGAAGGAATCAACCAAAACCTTCGACGAAGCCACTGAAGCCGTCAAGATTTTCCACCGCGCGATTTCTGAGGGTGTCGAGCCAACATCGTTTCTCTACAATGCTCTGATCGGAAAACTAGGCAAGGCGCGTCGCATCGACGACTGCCTCCTCTACTTTGCAGAGATGCGCGCAAACGGCATTAGACCCACCAGCGTCACCTACGGAACCATCGTCAATGCCCTCTGCAGAGTAAGCGACGAACGCTTCGCCGAAGAAATGTTCGATGAAATGGAGTCGATGCCCAACTACAAACCCCGCCCGGCACCCTACAACTCCATTATCCAGTACTTCCTCAACACAAAACGCGACCGCAGCAAGGTCCTCGCCTACTACGAACGTATGAAGTCCAAAAACATCCAGCCAACCATGCACACGTACAAAATTGTTGATTGACGCCTACGCCTCCCTCGAGCCCATTGACATGAACGCAGCCGAATCCGTCCTTGACACCATTCGCTCCAAGGACCAGCACCCCAGAAGCCGTCCACTTCGCCTCTTTAATCCACGCCAAGGGCTGCGTCATGCATGACATGGTCGGTGCGCGAAAAATCTTCGACTCCGTCATCGCAGACTCCCACATCCAGCCCCAACCATGCTTGTACCAAGCCCTCTTTGAAGCTATGGTGGCCAACCGTCAAGTTTCCGCGACGTCAAAACTCCTGAAGCATATGGTCAGTCGCAATGTGGAGATGACGCCGTACATTGCCAATACGCTTATTCACGGCTGGGCGGCTGATGGGAAGGTCGCGAATGCCTTGTCGGTGTATAATGGCATTGGTATGAGTAAGCGTGAACCCAGCACATATGAGGCGATGACAAGGGCTTTCCTTGCTGCTGAGGATCGGCAGGGTGCCTCGGGTGTTGTGCAGGAGATGTTATCTCGTGGGTATCCGCCTGCTGTTACTGGGAAAGTGCTTGAACTTGTTGGTGGCGGAAGCCCTCCTCCCATGCCTGCGTAAGAGCAAAAATCCCACACCCCGACACAAGAAAACCTGAAAACCGACCCGACATGCCGAATTTCTCTATCTCCCTTGTCAACAATTTCTTTGCTATATATATTGTTCTTCTTTCCCCCTCATTGACTACCCACTTTTAATCCGTCACCGTGGCCCATTTTTCTCTTAGTTTCTTTTCATATAATTCAAGAAGGTAAACCTGGGCTGGACCCACTCTGTCCGGCCCAGAGCCAACCCTTTCTGCCAACGAAGAGTCTGGCAGTAATCCCCGAAAAATCGATTTTCCGTTCTGTTAACATCAATTTGTGAAAAGGAGTTTGGGAAACAAATGGGTTTGCATGTACTATATAATGTTTTCTTCATTTTCGTTTTTCCACTATATTTTCACTTGTTCAGCTGGGCGTATCAGCAGAGATGCGAGCTAGAAAGCCCAGGGAGTTTATACACGGGAGATGACCTTTACGGATTTTGGCATTATGATTTTCCTGAATCTTGGTTTTTCGTGCACAGAATATTTTCCTTGTTGGCTGATTTTGATTGTTAATGTTTCTTAAACAAACGTTCTGATATCTATAGACACCTCTCTACTCTCTACAGGATGGCTAGGTGGGTTCCCCCCACAGAAGGATATGCCATGTATCATAGCTTTTCATGTATATACTGTCGACACATGCTGCCAACTTGGGAAGAAACTTCCGGCGTTTTGATACTCTGATACTTTGTTAGAGAGACATCCTCTCCCCTGGTTGTTTAAGGCAACAGCTACTAAGGTTCCCGCTGTCTGGGGGTGACGTCCAATAAGCGTAAGAGAAAAGGGCAATAAACTAAATAAATAACAGCACAAAGAAATGAAAGCTTTGCAAGAGACAACTCATATTCCATGTGTCATTCATTCCGTTGGGTTGGAGGTGGAGTGTTTTCCGTCCTTTTCTGCCGTCCCCCGCATTTGACTCCCGGATAAGGTCACGTTATCGACCACTTTCTTTTTCCGCCAGCCACAAGCCTCGCCCATCCGCATCTAATTATATCCTCAACTCTATCTTTTTTCTTTTTTTGTGTTCGCCCAGCCAACTTTTATAGAAGCTTCTGAAAACACATATAAATTATCTCGTTATCACAGAATAGACAAGCTGGATTTCTTTCTCCCTGCAAACGCTCTCCAGACCAACGTGGTGAGGTAAATGCGCAAAATCTCCCTTAAGTCTCTTTCTTCCCCCAAGTTCTCTCTCTAGCCGACGTATCACACCACTCGAAGCCGTGACGCTGGATAAGCAAGGCGGAGGAGATGGCAGGAGAATTTTTGCTCAAGTCTAACCCCCCAGCTCCCGCCCATAAACAACCAAAGAAATTGATCTGTATGGTGGACATTCCCCCCCCCCCCCCCCCCCTCCTCCCTCCCCGGGCCCGGGGTTGAAGGACTCCTCATGAGAGAGATACATATTGAAACAGCCCACTAACCATATCTTCGTCCATCCAGTTGCCCCAGGGGACATCGCAGCCCCCTACCCCTCCTCCCACCATCTCCATCTCCCATCTACCCAACAACCCCTCGCCACTACAGACCCAAACAGCCCACCCCATCACGCCGCCATGCCCATCCCCACCTACTTCCACACCTCCAACGGCACAGGCACCCCCAAGATCTCAGCCCCAGAAACCCCCCCACGCTCCAGCGCTCCCACCCCCATCGCCAATGCGGCTCTAATCGCCCATCCATCCCGAGCCCATCAATTCCTCACCAACCCACCCCTAACCCTCTCCCAAATAAACGTTACAAACCCTTTCAAGCAATTCAACTCCTGGTTCCGTGATTCGCGGCTCCTGCCGTCATCTGCGCCGGAAACGTGCACGCTTGCCACGGCCAGCATGCCGTCTGGTCGCGTCAGTGCTCGCATTCTGTATCTCAAGGAGTTGGACGAGAGGGGTTGGGTGGTCTATAGTAATTGGGGGAGTAGGAAGGGGAAGGGAGGCCAAATTTTTGGGAGTGACGGTGATGTGGATGGCGGGGAGAGTGGGGAAGCACAGGAGGATCTGCAGCAGCTGGGCAATCGATGGGCGGCGTTGACGTTCCATTGGCCCACTGTGGAGAGGCAGGTTCGAGTTGAAGGGATTGTTGAGTCGCTTTCAAGAGAGGAGAGTGAGACGTATTGGCGGGTCAGGGAGCGGGGGAGTCAGATTGGTGCCTGGGCCAGTCAACAGAGTAAGGTTCTTTGGGAGATGGAACCGTTGGAATCATCCGCTTATCAGGGTTGTGGCTGTGGTAGTGGCGCAGATGTTTCCCCTGCTGCCAATGGACCAGAGAATGATGCCACTATTACCGCTGCTGCTGCGGTCGTTCCCACTGAAGACCATGGTCGAACCACCCTTGACAATCGCGTGAAGGAAATGGAAGCGCGTTTCGCTGATACGAAGGAGATCCCGCTCCCGCCATTTTGGGGCGGGGTCAGGATTGTGCCGGAATCTGTGGAGTTTTGGCAAGGGAGGAAGAGCCGCTTGCATGATCGGTTTAGATATGTGAGGATACATGGGGAGCACGAGGCTGGGGATGAGACGGCAAAGGATTTCAAGTGGAGGATTCAGAGGTTGTCGCCGTAAGGTGGGAAGACGTTGGTTGCCGATCCCATGTGCCAGGACAACTTGGGCTCGATGGAAATTAATCCCACCATTATCCCATCAATCTCCGCTCACACCATGAGACAACAGCAATAGGTTATCTATATGCTCTCTGCGCCTGCACGAACTCTTCGCGATCATGTTATATGTTCCTATGTAGAAACGTTTCCTCTCCATTTTTCAAGAGTCCGCTTGGTTTAGAATCTTTGCTTACATCGCCCACCGTTACGCCCGCTTTCACCTATCACCAACCTTTTGGCGAGATATCTACATTTTGTTTGGGGGGGGGAGGTTGCGGGCTACTATCTATTTCCCTGCTTATCCCACCCGTTCATCTCGGCCCATTTAGATTTGGTGTATAGAATAGAAGAACCTATAATTATCAAAGTAATAAAAGGATATTTTAGTTGTGCCGTGAGAATGGAAGATTCCGTAGTAATAGCAGTCCACCATCCTGAGATGACTCGACTCAACAATCCTCCGCGGCTTAAAGTAGTTAAGCATAACCACAACAAGCGTGAGAAACGCCCTGCTTCAACATCTGTCAAAAATTCGTAGCACTCTACAAACACCTTTCAAAACTTCATGCCTAGAATATATCCATCCGCGCAACTTGCTCCCCTCCTCTCATCCATCTCATTTGAACTTTTAACCTAAACCCTCTCTTTGTCGACTATTTGTTAAAGATATATCATACATCTCTACCCGATTTACTTCACATATCAGCCATGGTTCGTCGACGACTCAACAAACAAAGCACATACACAAGCCCTGTCGATGATATATCGTTGTCAGCCTCGAGAGTGAAAAGAGAAAGTGAACAAGAAGCTGACACAGGGAATGAAACTGCGCGTTCTGTTTCATCTTCATCATCATCATCATCATCATCACCCAATTGGATAATCTTAGCCATTGCAAGCGGATTATTCGCCGCGACGAATGGATTATTTGCGAAGTTGTAGGTTTAATTCCACAATCCTTCGGAGGAATTCTTTTGTTGGATTTTTTCTCCCCCCCTTCTATGCGACGTAAAGGGGGGATATGGGGGGAATGGGAAGGATGTTTTCCTAATCTAAATCTCCTTCGTCCGCAATCTCACCCCGGAGCAACTGGGGAAGAGGGAAAAGAGGGGGGCGCAAAACTGCCCAAAATCAACTTAGATATATATCTCCATAAACCGAAGGATGTAAACTAATCAAAATAGTTGCTGGCATTCTAACTAACCACTCCGCTCCAACTGCCCTCAGAACAACAACCTCCCTCACATCCGCCTTCTCCCAAACTCTCACTCGTCTCCTCAACCTCCCGCCCTCCTCAGAGGCATTAGCGGAGTATGTAACCCGCGCTGTAAGTGTTCAGCAACCAAACCCCCCCCCCCCCTTCCAAGTTTCCCAATCAATCTTTTTAACTTTTGTGGCCCACAAGCTCTCCTTCGCCCTGAATCTCCTTTCCAACGGGATGATGTGGGCACTATTCACGCGGGCCCTCACCGCGTCAGCATCTAGTACAAAAGTTGCAATTACGAATACGACGGCGAACTTTTTGCTTACGGCGTTGTTGGGGATGGCAGTTTTTGGCGAGAAGGTGGATGCGTTGTGGTGGGTGGGAGCTGCTTTGATGGCTGGGGGTTGTGTTATTGTGGGGATGAGGGAGGGGGAGGGGGAGGGGAGAAAGTAAGTGGAAAGATAAGAGGTTAAGGGGGGCGGAGATGGGGATGGGGATGGGACGTGAGTTGTAGTTGTACGGATGGGATTGGACTTTCCGGCGGGCATCAGGGAGCATTTCAATAGGTAAATATTGATAGAAAAATCGATTTCGGCGCTCTATTATTATTCTAAAGTGCACATGCAAATACAACCAAAGCTTCACAATTAACACCTACAGCAGTTCCCTCCCCTCCCTTCTATTCTCCAACTCCATAAATCCATCCAACTCCTCCGTCCCATCTATTATGTCCGACGAATTCCTCGACCGTAACGGCTCCCTTCCACCCTGTCTCTGCCCTTGCCTCTGGCCACCACCCAAATCCCCATCCCCATCTCGAGAACTGAACCTCAACCGCCCCTGTGCCCCTCCCTCTCCCGCAACCGTCTTCCAAAACATTACCTTCCTCGTTACCCACTGAATGAACTCCCAAGCCTTCTGCTCAATAATCCCCTCGCCAAGCCCACCATTGGCACTAGCACCAACACCAATCCCGCCTCCATCCCTCCCCTCAACCTTAAACTGATACTTCAAACAATCCTTGACCGTAACAAGCCCGGAAAGACGCCCCCGATGCTCCACGAGAATCACCCGCGGACCCATTTTCTTGAATACCTCCATGACTGTTTCAAGCGGCAGGCGCGGATGCACGGTTAGCGGGGCGAGGTCGACATATTGGCTGAAGTCTATGGAGCGGATGCCGGTTGATGTGGCGATGTCGTCGAAGGTGCGGGAGGGTGGTCGGTGGTCGGCGTTTGTATCTATATTGGTGTTGTTTCGTTCGTCGGATCGGGATGAGGACGATGAGCTTGATCCAAAGCCTTGGCGGGCTGTTGATATTTCAAGGGTGAGGGAGTTGGTGGATGGGGTGGTACGGTGGCGGTGAGATGTGGCGGAGGGGGCGGTGGTGAAACGGCATTTGGCGTTGGGGGAAAGGAGGCCCTCGCGCTTTGCACGGTTAATTGCGTATTGGAGTTCTGTCCTGCCGATGTATCCTATGACGACATTGTTGGTGAGGTCTTCTACGATTGGGAAGCCTTGGTATTTGTGTTGGCGGAGAAGCTTTTCGGCCTCGAATACTGGGAAGTCGGTGGCAGTGAGTACGGCCGGCTTGCTGGTCATGGCGTGGGAGACGGGGACGTTGAAGATGTGATCTTCTTTGCTGTCAAGAAAAGGGAAGCCATTGAACCAGATCATGCGGTCTGCAATGCCCCCCCTGCCAAAGCTATCGCTGACTGCCTTGGTTACACCAACCACGATCTATGAAGGGGAATTAGTATTTTTGAGATTATCATATATAAGTTGGCAGTTCTCCCTTCTTGTTCTTTTTTCATAAACTTACCATCGTTGGAAGAATATACGTTAGCGCGCCCGTGAGTTCGAACATAATTATAGTAATTGAGATTGTCAGATGCATGATCCCACTCAACGCAGCCCCGGCTCCAAGAAAAGCGTAGGTCCCTGGTGTGATACACGGCACATCGGGTTCGCAAGAAGCAAAAAATTTCGAGTCGGGGAACCTTTCATATAAAGCCTGGACGAGAATGCCAACCATCCGACCAAATGAAGCTCCTATAGCCATTGATGGGACGAAAATTCCAGCCGGCACTTTGCAGCCATATGAGATGATGCACAAAAGTGCTCGAAGTGTCGTCGCAATAGCAAGAGATAGAACCATTGACCAGCGATTTTTAGTACTAAAATCAACTCTGTCAGCATAGGAAATCCCTCACTCGAGGATTTGGATGTGATGGTGATCAAGCCCATACTCGCAAATCCCATTATAATCATGAGCTCCTTCGCACTCTCTAAACAATATCTCCATCATCTCGGTCATGTTGATCCTTAGAAACATATTGGGGTAGCATATCAGTGCAGTGAGCCCCGCCAGCACCGTAGCCTCGATAATCGGATGTTGTGAAAGATATTTTTTCCGGAACGCCTGCGCTCTCAAGTTCCATTTAATGACGAAAGCCCCGTATAACCCACCAAAGATGCCCAGTAAAACAAAGAAAATTAACTCAAAGGAATGCCAGGTTCGGTCGTATTTCACTTGAAACATAACCAGCTGGCCTGTTCGAAAGGGATTCATAGCCTGTTGTAGTCATGAGCAAGATGACGAGAGAAATTGGGTCTGGTTTAAGAGATACGTACGGCAAGGACTCCAGTGGCTACTAGAGCGCAAAAGTAACTCCTCCAAAGAGTTTTCAATGGGAAATAGGAAGCCATTTCCTGCAACAAATGTTAAGCCCTTATCGGCCAGATAGATATAAGATGAAAACGAATATGGAACAGGCAAGAGGTGTACCTCTAAAGAAAACAAAACACCTCCAATGGGACTACCAAAGGCAACCGCTACTCCAGCACCAGCTGTGGCAGTCAGAATCTCTCGTGTCTTTGCTGCATTTCGCGTGTATTTGCTGAACCATCTGGAAATCACATTTCCCGTGCACACCGCAAAATGGACGCTGGGGCCTTCCTTTCCAACTGAAAGCCCCGATGCTATAGCAAGCGGTAGAGTTAAAGATTTGATTATCAAAGTCCTGGAGCCGAGAAAACCCTTCATAATGAAGCCAGCAATGATAACTTTGATCTCTGATATGCCGGACCCGGCAGCATATGGTGCGAAAGAGTTGACAAGCACCGCGGAAGAGAATGCGAAAAGGACCTAAGGGCTAGCAGTTAGATATCCTGACGTGTTCGTCGCAGATATTTCAAGAGGCGCGAAAACGTACAGCAAATATGAAGTACGCGATGTAATTCAACGGAGCAAATGAGGTCCACGGTCGCCACTCGGGACACCCTGTCATAGTTCAGTCAGTCAGTAGATGAAATAAACCAAAGGGGAAATCCAGATGGCCCCATATCTATATCAAAGATAATATACATACCATCATCAGCCCCCCAACAACAAAAAGACTCATTCAAATAAAACCCCGTCTCGCAATGCCCCAACTTAATATCCGCCAACCACTCCGTAACAATACTCAAAAAGCCCGCATTCAACCCAATCGCTGCGCCGACAATGGTAACAACCAACCATGCCTGTCCCGCATCGTACGACTCACTAACCTTCCTCCGCCAGCCCAGCGTGCCCTCCTGGTCCCAGAACTGCAAGCCGTCCCTGCGCTTCGCCCGCCTGCGTGCCTGCTCGTGTACGGCATCCTGCACCCAGTCGATGGTTGTGAAGTCTTCGTATCGCTTTATCTCGTTTATTTCGTCTCTTATGGATGGGCGCCTGGAGGCGGTGATGGTGGGGCGGCGTTCCCGTGCCGCTTCGGTGGAGGAGGTGTGTACGCGGGCATTGTTGGTTGGGGGATAGCGGGAGCGAGCGGAGAGGCTGCGGGGCCGTTGGGGGTGGGCGGAGGAGTAGGAGCCCGGGGGGTTCATAACACCGGAGACTGTTGTAGAGGTTTGGTTATCATCCTCAGCCAGGGGTAGTTGGTGAAGGTGTCACCGTGGATGGCGATGAAGATGGGTATATATGTAGCTGGTTGGTGTTGTTGCTGTCGTCGTCAATGTGGTGGTGGTGGTGGTGGTGGTGGCCATATAACTAACTATATCTGAGGCGCTGTCTGACATCTGGACCGGGTCGGCTCCGAGTCGCTGGCCCCAGATTTAAATGTTGGTTCAAGGAACAGATATTTATTCTGTTGTTTCTATATGGTATTTGACAACTATGTACACTATTATATTCTCCAAATAATCCACATTAATTAGAATTACATTTCGGAAATGTAATTGACACGGCCAACTCTAGGTAAGTATATTCTTTGGTGTGTGTTGGATTCCTCATACTGTACAGCCAGCTAACTAACTAATTGGTTGTTAACGTAGTTATTTTGAATAGTTAATAGTTAACTGGGAAATAAGTTAACGTCATCTCTGCGGCGCGTCCTAAATATCCCTATCTCTAACAGGTTATAAAAGGGAAACACAGATTCAGCTTTCTTCCTCTCCACCTCGTCTCAATCAGCCTATCCATAGATCGCGCATACTCTTATTGTGTCTAGCATTATCATTCAGCATCTCTACACTGCACAATATTATACACATCTCCATATTAGCCGCGGGGGGCGTTTATCTCTCCCCGTATCTATCCGCTTCACCACCAATCTGTGTCTGCCAGATCAAACACGCGACATATTCATGCCTTACAACATCTCCGCCATCCCTCCGCCAGAGGAGGTCAGTGGCCATGCAGCTCTGCCATGTACGTTCTGCGCTTTTCCCAACCCCGCAGATTTTATGATCTACATGTTGGAAAAGGTCAACGAAGCTGACGCAGGACCTATAAAATGCAACAGTGACCAGAATCAAGAAGATCATACATCTGGACGAGGACATAGCGCAGTGCTCCAACAACGCCGCCTTCGTGATCGCAGTGGCTACTGTATGTCTTTTTTGAGACTCTTTTGAATATATATTTACCCGACGCGTTCACCGGCTATGTACTCCGTAACTAACGCGGGCTATTCTGGAATGTGTATAGGAGATGTTTATCCGCTACCTGGCCGAGCAAGGTTACAATGTTGTCAAGTCCGAGCGAAAACCAAGACGGACGATCCAATACAAAGATCTAGGTATGGTCATGTCATAAATTCTTCACCCGACACAACATAATCACATATTGCACATACATCCATATACATATACACTCTTCCCTCCCCCATACGCACATAACATACAACTAACTCAACCGCCACCACCTCCTCCCGGAATCCTAGCCACCGCCGTCTCCCGTATCGACAACCTCGAGTTCCTAGCCGACGTAATACCCAAAACAACAACATATAAACAGTTCAAAGAGAAGAGGGCCAAGGAGACTGCCAACGGGGCCGGTGTGTCGAAGAGCCAGCGAACGCTTAACGGCACCAGAGCACGGGAGAATGGCACGTCGCGCGAGGGGCGCGAAGA